AGCAAAATTCAGCTGAACTAGCTCTGGTAAAGGCTAAGGGTTCCAGGGTTCCAGCGGCACATCCCCACCCAGAAATCCCCAAAGTACCCCCCCCCCCTGGGGGATAAACTACTATCCAGCAGATTGTGTGGTTTGTTTTGTTAACACTTATCCACTGGATAGCGATTTATCCAGTGGATAGCATTATCCAGCCTTTGAATAACTGGGCCCATGAGTTGTTCAGTAGTATTAGAAGAAGCTTACTCAAAAGATGTTCATGAATCACATTTCTTTTCAAGTGTATGGACATACCGGTTCAGTTTCTTCTTCATCATAGACGCTATCAACACCAGAATCAAATCTGTCAATCAAAGACAACAATCTATTAGTCTTAAAATTGTTACCAAATTTTAAAAATTTGGTAGACTAGCACTTATTTATTCAGGGGTGTTATTAAAGGTCAGTAGCTGGCCAAAACCACGGGTAAGTTGGTCATCTCCAGTCACCTACTTTCAACTCATTGTACATGTACCTTACCTGCTGATGAGAAGTCTTCCAGTTATCAATAATTATACTGCTGAAGGAAACTGCAAAGCATCACTGTTTTCAGGTTGCAATTGATGTATAATTTGACAGGTTTAGCCGAGTGTGTTGATCTATAATTCCAAAATTGTAGTCTACTCCTGGAATACCTCCTAGGATATTTTCACTTCTGTCAATAGTTTCTACATGTAGTCTCACACATCTCAGGAAACTATTATGGAATCTGCATCCAAGAAGCAGTGGTTGCTTAGACTATAGATTTCAAAATTTCGGGGGCACATGCTTAGGGAGCTGGGGACATGCTACCATGACCACCTCTATATTTCTCATCAGCTCTCTACTAAGTTTTTAACCCCTTGAGTGCCACACCATTGGGTGTAGTGTGTGCCAAACATTTTCATTGAAAATGGGTGTCTAGTAAAAAAACTTCAAATGCCAAAAGCTTTTCGTTTAAACTATAGACATGAACACATTTTCTGAAAGGTCATAAAAGCATCTCTTCAATGTGGTGATTTTGCTGAGGCTGACCTAATTTGATATCCATATGATGTCACAGCAATGGGAAATTAGCAGTCTCTTGAAAACCCACCTATGGCCTCTAGGAAAACCTCTGGTGTTTCTGGAGTTTGACTAATAAAATCTCTTGAAATTTTGACGTACTCAGTTCATCATATAGACACCTGAGAGGCAAAAATCTTGATGTACTGTGTACATCATATAGGCACTCAACAGGTTGAGTAACTAAAAAAACTTAGCAACACCCAGCTATTAAGAACATATTCAAACAGTCTATTATTCAGTATCTACCCTGTGTGTTCTCTTTCACTTCGCCTTAGTTTGTCCAATAATTCCTCTCGTTCACTGTAAGCCATTTCAAGTCTTGCATTCATAGCAGCATCACGCTCTTTCTGTGCTTGATATATTTTTTCAACAAGAGCTGTAAATGACAAAAGAGCATTTCAAAAACATTAAAAATATCATGATTTATACCTGGATCTTATGCGTCCCATAGCGCGATGAGGACAGATGATAATACTTGACAAGAGAATTAAATTCTCAATGAATGTTTAATCCTTGATAGGCATTATTTACTAGCTTTCATACTGTTGAACTGCGTTCTCAGGTATCGAAACTAAGAGTCACTCAAAATTACAATGTACCATGGCCCTAAATTAGATCTGAGAGTGTACCTAGATATTAAAAGATCTAGATCTAGTGTATCTATAACTTGGGGAAAACAAAACTCAAAAGGGAACAACTAAATACGGAGGCCCAGGGTGATGTCAAACACAGATCACTTGACTGGTATACACAAGAATGTATGTTATCGAATTAATCTACAATCTTGGTCAGAATAAAAAAAGAAATAAAACCACACCTCCCTGTAAATCTATGATGAACTCGCAACACAACCAAAATGCAGCATTTTTTCCATCATTGAAAAGGGGGGAGGGATTGTCTTAATTTTTCATTCAATTTGACCAAGATTGTCGCTTTTTAGCAGCAAGTTACACTGCTGAATTGCTCTTCATACCTGCTCCTTGTGCAGCAATTTTTGACTCTGTTTGAGCTAACAGCTCGTCACGACTCATCCTTGATGCCTGGATTTCAGCTTCTGCTTTTGATAACTTCTCTGAAAGCTAACAGGATACAGAATATCAACACTGACACTTTACGGGAATCTATTAAACTACTGATGTAGATGTGCTAAGTGAGGCCTTTCACACCTACTGGTACAAAACGTTTCTGGTACAAAGAGAAATGATGAGGATGATATTGGTGGTGATAATCACGATGCTACTGCTGAGCTGGTGATAATGATAATGATGCTGGCGATGATAATGATAATGATGATGATGACAATGGTAATGATAATAGGGACTTTAAGATATGGTACAGCTTGTACTACAGCAAGTGCTTTTTGAAATACCCAGGATGAAAATATTTTTGCTTGAGGATCATCAAAGATTTAAGATCTTCTGGGAACCTTACAGAAATATATAAATTTTCATTCATTATTCCCAAACTCCTATCTTCACTGTTCATGCATGCTTCTTCGTGCCAAGCTTCTTACAAGACTCCAAAAGAGTTTATTTTAGACTCCAGGTGAAATCCTAACAAAAACATTGAGAACACTTTAGGTCCTCAACAAAGCTGCTATGTGTACTCTTTTCAAGAATATTTGCCAAGATCTTATAAGGTACACAATGCATATAGAAGCATTGACATTCAACAAAGTCTTGGCTTTCCTGGGCATTCCAAAACAAGGTATTAACTAATTGATGACGTAATTTGCATATTAATCTTTGCCAAATTCATCAAATCTGCTAATATATTAGGACTGTATCTGATGAGATAATTTGCATAGTTATGGCTGGCAAAAAGTCGCCAAATTGTCAACTCTGCTAAGCTGATTTGGTTTTGACAAATTTGACTAAAATTTGCCAAAATTGCCTGATGCATCACCATTCACTCAGTTTGACAAAATTTCATCAAATTTGCCAATTTCATTACCACGTGCATTTCTGGGCATAAGTGCCTGATGGCTTAGAAAAAAACCTATAATATACATGATATCAAATTACTTTTTGGTAAAACACAAACAAATTACCTGTAGATTTAAACGTTGTGAAAGTGATAATTCTTCTTTGATTGATGAGGTGTCAAAACTGGTCATGTTCATTGGAGAGTATCTGCCAGTCTCGCCATGTTTACTTGTTACTTTTTCCTTGTATAACTCTTCAGTTTTCTCGGCTAATTCTGTTTCCAGTTGCTGTCTTAATGACTTTTCAGAACTGAGGAGCTTATCCCTGAAGACAAATAGAGTGATTTTTTTAGCTTTTTATGTCTAAGATGATTGACTAAACTTCTAGACACAGTCGAACCTCTCCACAACAGTGACCTTGGAAATGGAGGAAAGTTGCTATTGGAGAGAGGTGGCTGTTATGGGGAGGTAGGAGTGTAATATGATACCAGCTTTTTTTTTCGGGATTACAACAATTTTTGTCAAAAAATACTTATTTAAGCATATAAAAAATAAAACTATTTATCAGTAGAATAAGAACTTAACAGAAACAAAGACTAACGATGCATTGGGGTTTCGTATACACTGTTTGTCAGTCTTTGATTAATGGCCATTGTTGAGAGGTTATTTTGGCCAGTTGGCACCAGTTTAAGTGGCTGTTCAACTGTAGGTGTTGCCGTTGTGGAAAGGTGGCTGTTGAAGAGAGGTTAAAATAAGAGTGAATGGATGAACTGTCTACTGGGACCAAAAAATGTGGCTGTTGTGGAGAGGCAGCCATTGTAGGTGGTCATTAGTGGAGGTTTGACTGTACTGAGGTCTCATAATTTAATTTATTTTATCAAAGTGCAACTACTTACTACGATTATCAGTTGAGTAAGGCAGGACGAAAGTTTGGTCACCAAGTTTTAACGTAAAAATCATGTTGTTGTCACGAGCAACTGGCTCCGTATCCATTGACGACTTGTCAGCCTTTGACGTCAATGGCAGCAAAGCACACGAAATTGTAGTCAATGCGACAGACGACCAACGGCTGTTGATATTGTTACCAACCGAAATGAGGTAAGTTGCCCATGACAACACCATAATTTTAAGGCCAAAACTTCGTAACCAAACTTCCCTCATGCCTTACTCAACTGATAATTGTAGTATCACTTAGTTTTTAATTTTGAAACCTGGACTCTGACAGTTTGAGCCATATTTGGTAGATACATGTAACTCATAAAGCAGAGGTGTTTATCTTTCCTGTACTTCCCAGAATGCAGAATTTCAGAACTCGCCCTATAATGCATTGTGTGCATAATTTGCGACATGCCGTTAGCACTTTATGTATGTACCCTTAAGTCAACTTTGGTTGCAGTCTATATAAAACTAGGTTTGCTTGAATAACATTTAACCAGATAACCAGGAGATAACTAGGAGAAATTGATCCAGTCACGTACTAGATAAAGTCATCTAGTTAATCATAAATGATAAATAAATCAAATTTAAATGCAGTTTTGAACGATTTGTCTCGATCAAATTGATAAGGTGTCTGATTGGAAAGGACACATGTCCTGTTAAAGAAGAAAAATTATTTCCAGCACTACAAATATAAGGCAGACCATTTCTGAAGTGCAAATTTCCGTCCAGTAATAGGCCCTCGTGAAAATGCTTTTTGAACCACAAGATACCTGTGGCTTGCTATTTCACTGAGCTAAAATAGCAACTTTAGAGAAACAATTTTGTTACATCCAAAGAGCAAACCCAGGCTGTCATAACTTTAACTTGTACCAATAGCTACTTACATAATCTATTACTTTCCAATCAGCTTGCGGGAGTTCATTTGTTTGATAACTGACAGTGTAATATTATCTTCTAAACTTCTCCAGAATGTGTACATGACCTGCCTCCNCCCCCCCCCCCCAAAGGTGTTCCAGCAATCCTCCTTGGTATGGTTATGGAATTTTTTCACACAGTTTCATTTTGGCATTCCAAGCCAGAACCAACTGGAGAATTGCATTTGAAAAGTTGTGAGGAAGTTTATGAGTCACATGTGTGAGGCTACCATTTTATTTTTGGTCAGTGGGTGGTTAGGTACATTCACCTAAATGTACCTTTTTGATATGCTTCAGTGGCATATCAGGCCAGTTATTGCAGGTGTCCGTGGATGCATGTTCAGTTCAGTTGCAGAAGTTTTCAATGATCACTGGTACATTCTTTTTTCTTTCCCGTGTGATAACTGCTGATTTTTATTTTGTATTTCAGTTCTTTTGTCAATATGTTCCTTGCTTTGTGATCCAAATCCTGATGATCCCTTGGTGCCAGACATAGCGCGGATTTATAAAACAGACAAACCTAAATATAATAAATTGGCAAAGGAATGGACGACGAAGTATGCCCAAGTTTGACTCTGAAAGGCACTTTCTAACATTATTTTGTCTCTGGCAAGAAGTCTTGTTGTAATGTACATTTTATAATGTTATGTTCCAATGCTCTTTCTCTGCTAAGCTTGAATGATTTCCTAGTTATTTTCTTCTCTGAAGAAAGGCTATCAGCTATAAGATGCACTCAGCTGCTTAGACATAAGGTTGGAAACAGAAAACATCTAAATATTATCTGTGAACCAGGTACTCACATGTATTAAATTCAGATTTTAAATATTACATATGACACGGATTTAGGGTACTGAAGGTTTGTATATGTTTCTGTTGCTACTGGAAATGTTGCTTAAATTAAGTACTGTTGTATATATACATATGAACTAACCATAAATAATATCTGAATGATGCCAACACTTTCAACCGAAGCTTCAGTATAGAAATTATCCTTCCCAACAACAGCCTTGCATTTGTGCTTAGTTTATCTGAGAGCCAGAATTTCATTTGTAGGAGATGCATGTAATGTACAGGTACCATCAGCTCTCTTTAATAGCTTGGTTGCTCATTTCTGTTAACCTACAAGTAGAAATAAATGTCAGTTTCTTGTGGTATTGATAGAAGGAGTTAAAATCTACTATTTTACTATCACTGTTTTGTAAATTAGTTTAACCGAGTCCAGCCATCCGAACTTTAGCAATGGTACAGTTGGAGATTAGCACTGATTTAATTAAAAACCACCCACTCCCTCCTCCCCCTTTACACGTTTATTAATAATAAATAATTGTATAGATAACTATAACTGTAAAGTAAGAACTGTAGACTTTGTCACTAGATTGTGTTTTTGTCACCTATAGAGGTCTTGAATAAATAGACAATTTAGCAGTTGACATTTGGTTTGTGGTTTTCTTTGTTGTTCTACACCTTCGATTTTTATACCTCCCTACTCAAATATGTTGTCCTATCGGAGGAGAACGTGTCACGTGTCGTGGGTCAAAACTCACTAACTCCCTAGGGCGAACAAAACTCACTAACTCCCTAGGGCGAACAAAACTCACTAACTCCCGAGGGAAACAACATCTTGAACTTTCGACTCGCACTTGATCAGGTCATGCTCCTTGAAATCGCGGCAAATTTGTGAGCCAGCCAGCGTCAAGCAAACGATTTCTTCGCAGTTTTTTTCTATTTTTGAGTTGGAAGGTATAACAAAACACTTAATGACTGGTCCCGCGGGAAGCAGTGAGTTTTGTTTCCCCGAGACCTCAATTTTCAATGTTGAGGGTCTCGGGGAAACAAAACTCACTGTCTCTCTTGGGGCCAGTCATTAAGTGCTTATTATTGCCCTTCATTTCAGGTATGTTAGTCTTGTGCAGTTGTTTTCTTAGTGTGAAAAGAATTCTAGCGAACATATTTTGTCCATCAATGACTTGGCCGGTTTAATGAGCGACGGTGGTGATCACCATATGAAGGCAATGAAGTCTCTAGCTGAAACCCTTTTCGAGCACCCCCCTCTCAGTGAAGCCAACAGATTTTGGCGCCAGGTGGCAGGATAGAAAGACACCTGGTCCAGTTGTTCGAGAGGTGGTAAACGCTATCCACAGGATAAATCCCTTTCCAGTGGCTAAGTGAACAAACCAAACCACGCTATCCACTAGATAGCCATTTATCCGGTGGATAGTTCTTACCACACTATTTGGACCGTTCGGTCGTCTTTTTAAAGACGAAGTCGTAACGAGTCTGCAATTCTTGAAAAGGCTAGAGATCTCTGGACTGGCCTGGATAAAGTATGGAAAATAATGATTAAATCTGGAAAAAATGGGAAGGAAATCTAGTTATTTTTCCAAACTGCAACGATAGGCCACTTCCTTGCTGTCGTTTACCCCTCCTTCAGAACGAGTTCTCGTGCAAAACGTTTTGTGTGAAAATGAGTTTGATTTGCATGAAAATAAACATCCAGGTGGAACTTTTTTACTAAATAAAGATTGAAGTCTTACGCCGGAAAGCCTAGTTATTTTTCCAAGCCGCAAAGATAGGCCACTTCTGAGCTGTCGTTTGTCTCTGTTTCAGAACGAGTCCGTGCAAAACTTTTCTTATGCATAAAACATATGATGAAAAGGAACAATCCGGTGGAACATTTATTGAATGTTTTCTCACGAAGACTCGTTTTGACACAGGCAATAGTAAACTCGGAAATGACCTATTGCTTGGATTGCTTAGTGAATTCGCTGTCAGCCAGTCAAATTTCAGTGCATGTACATCGACCGGATTTTCATGGTCCACACTCTTGTGACACCCTTATTGATCAAATAAATGACGTCATGAGATGTGGTTCGGACGTTTTATGACAATTTCTATGGTAGATTTGTTTGCGTTTTTTTTTTTCGATTATACCAAAAATTCAGAGAATTTATCGGGCCGATCCCCAGAAAATGTTTTTTGTCTTTTGTTTAGACAAACTGGCAAGTGCCCTACGGCTGGGAAAAACTAGTTGTTCAAATATCCCTGGGTAGTGGCTCAAAAATGTTTGTTTTCTTCGTTTATTGTCTTACCTTCAAGTCCTAAGCTTGTAAGTCTTATTTCCCGTACTGGTGGAAAAAAAAATATGTCGTTCTGCAGGTCTAGCGTCTCATTTATGTCCTACTGGACTTATTCAGTAGGAAACTTATCGTATTTGTCGATGAACTTGGTCAATAGAAGAAGCGACAATTACTGTAAGGTGAAAAAGTGAGATGGTCAAATTAACAAATTGATGTCAGCTTTTTATGCGTCTGTCCTGATACTGATCATGAACTTCGTCATAGCATTATCAAACGAGCTGTGGATCCAGAGTAGCCTAGTGGATTCGCTGACTACTTTGACAATGTTATGACGAAATTCATTGTCAATAACAGGACAGACGCATGAAAAACTGAAGTCAATTTGTTTTCTATAGTAACAAATTGTCAAATTGTCCGCTCTCGCTCGTTGACGCATCGCATAAGTTATAAATTTATGTGTCTGTCCGGTTATTGACAATGAAACTTAGCCAATGAGCGCGCGAGAATTTCTTCAATTATTGTGAAATGCCTCGGAGCATGAGACGTTAGTACGCGTCCGAATACAGACTAGAATTAACGTTAGCGACGTCCCTCGTCCTTTCTCGAGGTGAACATCAGTCCCGCTTTTTGCTCATTTATAATCTTCTACGATAATCTTTGTCAGTGCCGCCAAGAACCACTAACACATGTTTGGTATAGCTCCATGGTGTTGATTTGGCTGAACACTGTCAAAGAGAGCTTCTATCCTATACGTTCTTGGGCTTCACTTCCGGGTGGCTTCGGGCAGGGCTCTCCATATGAGCACAGTCAACCCAGCTGTTCCGGTTTCGGAGATCTAATTTCAGTACCACTACTTGTTTCTTTCTAAAAGTTTCAATGGGTTCAAGGCCGGTCTCGCAGCCAGTCTACACCCCTGCCCTGATTTAACACTAGGGGTGCGCGACCCGGTATGGTAAATATTTAGGCTTCTAAAATCGGTATGTAGGATGGCTCGGTATATGTCACAAAAGTTTACAAAAAAATTACGCAGCAGTGCTAAAAATCTTAAGCTTTCCTGCTGGCGCAGCTGCAACTAGGCAGTCCACTCATCTCTTTGTCGACCCCTGTGTAGCTCTTAATTTGTTGCGCTTTTTCGGCGTCCGTTTGTCGCCCGTATTGCCAATTTTACATCTCCATTTGATTTTAACCAACAAAACTGAGCGCCTGAAAGAGAAGAATGCTACAAGCTCTTCTTTAGTCCTGCAGTTTCGCTTCAGTACTTTAACTTAATGCATAAATACTTTGAATTAATTATCAACGAGTCATAAAATAGGAGCGTGACTTTGCAATGACGCCATACGCCATACCACGAGAAACAACACCCATAAAAAAGACTGAAAACTAGCCCGGCTTTTGTAGGTCATGTGATCAACTTTTGGCCAATGGTACAAGGCAAAACTAGCTCACACGTTTCGTCTTGGTCTCCATTAACAGGAAGTTTGGGATCTAAATCGCACCATAGAATTTGGCTTTTCGTTCAATTTTCGACAGCATAATAGCTTTCAAAGAAGATGGCGTTAAAACGGATCAATAAAGTAAGCATCAAGGTTTCTTCAATCGCAATTTATTGAGGTTTGATAGCTGAAAACCTTACGTTTTCAAAGATGGTTACCCTCGACGTGAACTGTATGGCCGACCGAGGTGGCTTTTCGTGGTGGTTGTCAAGAGTATTCATGCTTTGTTTAGACGATGAACATCCACTCTTTGGTTACTTTTCAATGTTTGCATTTTGCTCTGATATTTCAGGAACTTCAAGATCTTGGACGTGATCCTCCGGCACAGTGTTCCGCAGGACCGGTCGGGGATGATTGTAAGTGAATTTCATTGACTTTTTTCAGAAAGAACTTTTAATAAGTAAGCTTACATCGTTCTTACCTTTTAATCTACTGTTGCTGGAGTATTTTGGCTGGTGAGTTCTTCTTTTTCTTTCAGCAGACTTTCTGCTATTTATGTATGAACTTACTCTAATTACAATGTCTTATTTTTACACTCTGGCATCGCGTGAACTATGAAGTGTTTCACTGGCAAGCGACTATCATGGGTCCGGTGAGGAATTCTTACTTCTTTTGAAACTGAAGTACTTTTGAAATATTCTCGATGAGCAATATTGTGATGCTGTTGCTTAGATGTAGTGCTAAGTTTTCTCGATTCTCGTTTCTTCGCCAACAGCCTGAAAGTCCGTACCAAGGTGGAGTATTTTTCCTTACGATACATTTTCCTACAGATTATCCATTTAAACCACCAAAGGTAGGCAACTAGAGTATTTTATGCAAACCTTTTAGTTTACGAGTTTATAATACCGCCTGTCTTTAGTGTTAGAGTCATACTCTAGTACTAAAGAAACATACTGCTAGGAACGGTAGAGTTTTGTGACATGCAAACAGTAGTCTAATCTGTTTTACGTGCGTTCATTTCCAGCATTCTTCCGGTTTTTCGTTCGCTCATATCTAGATCTCTTGCTTAGCTCACCATGCGAGCAAATGGTTTTGCTTGACCTTGAGGTATTGGATTATTGTTTCTGCATCTTTTCCTACAGCAAATTGATATAATAACGACTTACAGAGTTACGACGCCTCCATGACCTCGTACATAAACTTGAGACTAAATTGTATTGTACGCATTTAGCTTACATCTTCGGCAGTACAATTACGATGCATTTCTAGGTTCAACTTGATTCCCCTAGAAAATTTGTGTTATGATGTTTGGACTTAAATTTAAGAATTGGAAGTTTTGATTTCTTTCCATTGATCGCTCTAAAAGGTCACAAACGTCGACAATATTTAGTATTGCTCAATCAATCACTACATATGCATGTGGGTCTTGCTTGTATTTTTCCAAAACAAATGATTCTAAACCTCACATTCTCTAAATTTGAATAGCAACAACCCAGTAATCAGTACCCGTACTTAACTTGCCAACTGATATATCCCAGGATTTTTGCAACTTATTTGGAGGATATGACAATTTCTGAAGGTGTCCAAAGATTTTCTAACACTGTTAAAAATTTCAAGACACAGTAGATTACTCCAAAGAGAAACAGACATGTTTTGGTTATCCTGAATAAACCATCTTCATTGCCAATTTGTAAATTAACTTTTAAGTTATATGCACAGTTGGACTCGGCTAATATAGGCTCCTGGTTATTTATAAGTATTTGCCCCTGGTATACTAACGCAGTCTTGTGGTAATCTTCTTCATTATATGAAGTGGTTATCTCATTTTATTATATAACCATGAGTGCTTTACTTGGAAAAAACACCACTTGTAAAATCCATATGAAACTACATTTGGAGCCCAAGAGGCAAAATTTTTGTTATAGATGATGCCATTTCACCCTTTTCCTCAGTTGTTTGTAAGAACAGACAGTGAAAATGGCAAGTGAGAAGTTATTCTATGTAATAAAAGGAAAATTACATGAAATTTATTTGAAATTTGTATTATTGTGTCAAAAACAATATTTTGTAAACTGGCTGCACTTGTTTCGTGAAACGTAGTTTTACCACTTGAAAGTAAAATTCATATCTTTGCGCTGTCTCGTAATATCCTCTAAATGTGTGGCCCATTTGTTACGAGGTACTTTGTACATTATATAACATACCTAAATATGTGGTACGTTTGTCATATATGAGGTGATCATTCTTTAAATGAGATGCATTTATCATTATTTGTTGTGCTTTGGTCATATGCGGTTCCTTTGTCCTTTGTCCTCCCGTAACATCCTCTGAATGTGTGGCCCATTTGTTATGAGGTACTGTGTACATTATATAACATACCTAAATATGTGGTATGTTTGTCATATGTGAGGTGATCATCCTTTAAATGAGATGCATTTATCATTATTTTTGGTGCTTTGGTCATATGTGGTCCCTTTGTCCTTATGTGTGGTTCAGGTTATCATCAGTTTTTATGTGGTCCCTTTATCACAGGGTGTTGTACTTTTGGCATTATATGTGAAGGGGGTTCATTAATGTTTCCAGCAGGAGAGCAACTGGGTTTCACAGGCAGGCAAAACGTTTTAAAGCGAACTTTTTTATTAAAAATCCTTCCTCTTGATGGTCAAGCCAGGCAGGCAAAATCATCATCACAGTTGGTTAATTTGCATGACTGCCAGCCCTTAATGAAACCCCTGATGTGGTGGGTTGGTCATATTTGTATCTGGTGCTTTTGATAATACGTGTGGTATTTTGTTATTGTAGCTAGTGCTTTTTGTTATACTTGTCTTTGTGCCATTATATGTGGTACTTTTGTCATTACATACAGTCTTTTATCTTTTCATTATCTGTTGTTTGTTTGTTGTTATATGCCTTGTTTTCTTTGTTATGATGAGCCTGCAGAGATCAGGGCATGTGTTTACCATTGAATGTGTGATGCAATTTAGCCATGATTGTGTGTCTGTTGCAGGGGTCTATGTGACCATGATAATACATTTTGGTGTTTTCAAATCATGAGCTGACAACTTGCCAGCAAGGTCTGGAGTAATGTTTTGCTTTTGCTAACAGATTTTTAAAATCAATTTGCTTTAAGAATGTTGACACTGGTCTATAATCTCATAATATAATTTTCATGATTATGTAGGTACATGTAGATCATTGCAACAGACACAATGGTGGCCAAATTGCTATGTACATTCAGTGATAATCTTGTGTCCAGATCTCCTCAGAACATGAACTTTACCATAATAAAGCAGCGTATGTAATGGCCAGGGATAACTACCTCATTTGATGATAAAAGGACTGTATATAATTACAAAAGTACCTTATATAATGGCAAAAGTACCACTTATTTATAAAGGTGAATTGAACCACGCATAGTGACAAACACACCACATATGGTATGGGAAATGATTATAATGGCACAAGTGCCACGAATAATGACAAAAGTACCACTTATAAAGGTGAATTGAACAACACAATAGCAAAGGTACCTCACATTAGGACATATGCACCAGTAAAGACAGGGTCTGAAATTAACTTTTTTAGGCAGGCACCAACTGGCGACTGAAATTTTTTTTCAGTTGCCATAGGGAAAAATTTGGTCACCAAAAAGTGTGAATAAAATTTTTCCTTCGCAGCGAAACACAAACCAAAATTTTTGGTAGCCAGATGGAAAATTCTGGTCGCCAATTTTTCTTTTAAGAATCGGAACGAAGAGAATGCATTTGGGGCCTCAATGTTGATTTTTTCACTAACGAATAAGATTAAATACAAACACGCTGATTATTTATACACCTACCACTGAAAAACCACGATGAAGGAATCGAATGCTGGCCATATACGCAGTTTCGTGTGACTGCCAAATGTTTCAAGTCAACTTTATACCTTTTCTTGTCTCTACCTTTTGGAGAGGAAATGTACCCAACTGAAAAACTGGCGTTTGGTTCTTTGTTCTATGTTCAAAATGATCTTTCCTTTCACGTTCTGTCAAGGCCACCCATGAAAATTCGTCTTGCGTTTAGCTGAAGACTTTTTGATTGGATGGTTTCCTTCCCCGTCCATCTCGGCACATTTTTCCGTTCTTGCCAGCAAAATCTTTGCAGTGGATGTCATCAGGAATCAAACCAGTGCTGAAATCATCTTTTGACCACTTTGACAGACACCCAGAGAATATCTAAATCTTCAACTAATTTCTCCTCGGATGTTCCGTCTCCACTTTGTAACAAATTACGGAAAGATTTCAGAACATCTTTGGACACCACATCGCCTGGATAAATATTCATAACCAAAGAACGCACGGCCTCTTGCGCCCGCAATACGAATGTTACGGGAAACCACTGACAAAACATGACGGCAAGGCTTTGCACTGATCTTGGCTGTGAAAAGTTGTAGTAGATTTATAATAACAGGAAAATCGGTTTTGTACTTCAAAAGCAGCAGAAAGGTAAAAAGTGACCAATTGGC